GTTCGGCCACCTTAAAGGCGAATTTGGTTCGTGTGTACAAGTGAACAAAACCAAAGAGGCAGAAGAAGAAATGGATTGCTGCATAGTTAACTATGATTGCTGTAGGGGAATGTAAGATCATGATCCAGTGCAAAGTGGTAAGGTATACAATCCTAATATCGGGTGATCTAACTGTTTGGTTCCCTTAGGGTTGGGAATTTTGCCATAGGGACCGCTAAGATGGCCGCTCACGAATTAATTTTGGCAAATTTCCACGAAATAAATAGTTTTGTTTGTTAAGTAGAAAAATTTTTACCTTCATGTTTGGAGGACAATTTCAGTTTAATGTTCACAAAAGCGACGTGAGATACGCAAATGAATGCGTACCTTTCACGCACGCGTTTAGGGAGAAGGGATCGCATCAATTTATCAGCAGATTATATACAAAAGAAGGTACCGATGGACAAAAATTGAAGAATATTAAAACGGATTGCGATTTGCGTTTTTAAAAAACTGTTATGCTGAACAGTTTTCAAAGTTAATTTCGTTTGTGTCCTTTAATTATAAAATCCATGCAGAAAACATAAAAAAAATTGGATCTTTCTTTTCATTTTAGTTAGACATGCCAATGATAATTATCAAAGTGCTGCGTTGTGTTGGTCAAAATTCGTACAGGGCATGACTGGCTGTCATATCAGGATCTTTGTTGAAAAAGCAGGACTGGGCCAATCTTGTATTAGTGTTACGTTGACTTCGAATTTATTTTATACTGAAAAGCCTTTATGATAAATTCGTTCTGAAGAAATGACTGGTCATCGCAGTTATACGCACAACTTAAGCAGTTGTGAAATTTTTAAATTGTGCATGTGTATAACTGCGATGATCAATCATGTCTTTATATCTTTCTCCGCAGTTCAAATATATTTAAATTCTTTATTGCAGTACACTGTTAGTCAGAATAAAATAAGAAATAAAACCACTTCCCGCGTTAGAAATCTCAAGCTCATAATCTAAATGTTAACTGACTTGAAGAAACTGTGGAAACCCTCGTTTTTGCCCCTTGCGTTCCTTCAGCACTTCTTGTTTTTCTAAACCTTTTTCATCCTTCTTTGATGAAAACAGGAACATTTCAATGTTCTCTATTTCTTCGGAATCACCTTTTGAATTGCCGTCCCCTTCACTCATGGGTATTCGTTTTCTCTGGACCCCCTGCGGGATTTCTGCCCCCTTTACCCGCGGGTATCAGTTTTTCGGCCTAAAATTTTCTCGACTATAGATAGCCGGCATTATTGTTGAATTATTCCAAGTTGGATTTTCTCTACAAGGTCTGGGATCGAAACGAAAGTCTCGTCCAAACACACGGTGGTCAAATCTCGTAGTCTTACAATAAGTTGAAAAGTCGGGAGTAGGCATCGCATCTTTTGGACCATCGTTGTCATTCTTCCCAAATGCCCTCATCTCCTCAACGTAGGTTCCGTGAATCCCAAGATACGAGTCGCACACCTTGGAAATATTTTGAAATTTTGGCAAAAACGAAGCGGGCGGATCATGATGCAGTCTTGGATCATGGAAATACCTTTTGGGCAAGTTTTGCATCCACAGGCCTATTTGCTGATCAGCAAACGGGTGACATAACGTCTTGTTCTCGTCTTGCTCTACAAATTTGTGGATCACATCGTTTGAAAATATCACGAACGCCTCATCCACCCACGTAATACCTGCTTCGCAGTGAAAATGTCCCCAGACTAGATTGCTTGTCGGTCTTAAGGGAAGCTCATTTAGAAGTCTCTTTAAACACACAAAGTAATCGTCATCGACCTTCAGAAGGTACTTGAAATCAAAATTAGCATTCACCCATTTGATTTGATTTAGAAAGCGCAGCCCGAATTCCATGCCTCCACGAAGCGGTTGAAATACCATGTCCTGGAAGTGGTTTCTTTCTTGGAGTAGACTGATACGCTTAGAACGATCCTCAATGATACCATCGGTAACAAAGAAGCATTTCACCTGTTTAAGACAAATTAACTGCGATTAGCAGTTTTCTAAAAATGTATTTAGAACACATGTACATCTCTAATTACCTTGGAAAGAAATAATATATCTACTTCAGCTTGCAATTCGTTCAGGAGGGTGTTATTATCAATCATAGCAAGAGTATACTTTCAGCCAGTGAGTAGATGAAGGCCAAAATCAGTTCCAATTTTTCTCACGAAACGGCGACGTGCATTGACTTCGTGTTCTGATTGGTTCATTGTGATTCGCCATTCTGATATCTTTGGGTTTGGTTTTACCACACTTTTCCACCTTAAATGGTGACTCACAACGGTTTTCAGCATTTTATCAGCACTTTGATGTCATAAGTAAGCTGATGCCATAAAGAAGCTGTTGTTTCGTGCTTCATTCGAGACAGCGAAATAACTGGCCTGGGTTACAGAAAACAGTATTTCTCCCTCTTCAGACGAAACCTCTTTGTTAAGTTGGTTAAAAACGTTTTTCTTTTTGAAGTTTTTAAATTGTTTATTCGAACAATGATTGAAGAGATGTTTCCGTATCTTTTAATCGGACAAGCAATCATTATCCCTAAGTAATTTCCGATGCCTCCGCCAATCATAAAAGTCCAAAACTCTTGCTCTGCAAAATTAGGAACCTACGATATCACCTTTCTCAA